AAGAGAGAGAGAGAGAGAGAGAGAGAGAGGGAGAGAGAGAGAGAGAGAGAGGGAGAGAGAGATTATAATGAATTTAAATTATTAATACATAAAAAATAATAATATATTTTCATAATGTATAAATAATTTTTATTATAAGGTGCTGATGTAAAATGTAAAATGTTTACATTTTAAAGATGCGCAGGATGAAAGAAAAACATCAAGATATCTGTTTAGAAATTGTGAATGATCTCGTGGATATCGTGGTGAAACTTGCTGATTATCGTCAAGCAAATGATAATTATATCCCAAATCTTGTTTGGAACGAATTGAGACTGTTATTTTTGAAGCATCAACCAATATTCGAACATATGGATTACTTTGATAATGTCGAAGAAGCAGAAAAGATAGAAGAAATAGAAAATGAAAAAGAAATGAAAATGAATGAAGATAAAGAGAAGAACGATGCAAATGGGAATAGTGAGAAAAGAATAAGAAACGAAAAGGGAATACAGATTGAAAAAGTTGAAGAAAATCAAGAGTTAGTTCGGCTGGAACGTCAGCAGGCTTTGACTGATGCAGATTTTGAGAGTTATCGAGATCTAGCTTCTCCCTGGGATCAATTTGTGCCGAAGAGAGAAAAGGAAGTTGAAGAAGTTTACAGATTAGGTTGTTTTGTGCTTGGTTACATCGTTCATCGCTTATTGGAGGATATCTTATATCCTTATTCTAAAATAATGGTTTGTCCAATGCCTAGAGTCAAGGTCGCAGCTATTATTTTGGGTGTGACAAATGCAACCTTGCACAAACAGTTACAAGAGTTGCTGAAGAATACCGGAATTCGTTTGCTGACGATGGAAGATGCGATCAATCATTGTCTGGAGAGCTACAAGCGGGAAATGGTCGGTGTGGAGTACATCGATCTCAACATCATCTTGACGACGGCGAGAGACATCAAGAGATTGGAAGCTAAGAACAAGGATGATTCAAAGGAGTATCACCGAAAGAAGAGTGAACGATTAATGAAGTCGACACCGTTTCACCAGAATCCTCAGGAGATAGCTGAGGAAAAACAAACACAAACACCTAGAGAGATACCTTATGACGACCCAATTTTAAGCAAGAGCGCATACATAGGTAGAAAAAAACAGTTTAGAAAAACAGTTTAAATCATAATTATAATCCTTGAACTTCTTTTTGATATAGCATATCTGTTTTTTTTTTAAATGCTTTTTTGTCGCTTACAACTTTTTTATTAATAAAGATACATATTAATATATTTGTTTAGTTTCATTATATTTCTTAATCTATATTTCTTAATCTGACATTTCAATTGAAAAAAAAATTTACTAATTTTAATATATCCGTTTCTATGAAAATTATAAAGAATCAAATTAGGTGAATATGCCATATACAGTGTGTTGTTCTTGTAATGTGGTGTTTACGAATTAATAGCATAAATAAAATAATTTTTATTAATTATCAATTTCAAAGGTGGGATTTACAATTATTGATGCCATTTTTGATAACTTGTATAGATACAGTTTATTAAAGATAGTATTGTATTGAGAATTAATTTTTTAATAATAGACATAATAGACATTAAAAATAGATATTAGAATTGCCAAAAATGTACTTATTGTAGATCGCAGAATAATAATGACTGCTATTTGATTGTTACTTGCGATATTTAGGTAAATGGACTTACGAGTTTCTCACATTGGGTCAACCTATTTCGAATGAGTTGAGCACGAGGATATTGATTGAATACTTAAAAGAGATCGGAGATGTCGAGGGATGGGCATTAATAAATTATCCTAACACCTATGAACAAATGGCAATGTTGGAGAAAGCACTAACAGGACGTGAGATACCTCCCGATCCTGTCAAACTTACTGATGTCAAAGACATCGATCCTCCATTAGTCAGGATTGTGTTCGAGGATGACACATTTGCTGCACACAGGCGCGTTTAATGTCAAAATTAATTTATAATTTTATAAGTTATATTAATTTTGAAAAGATACTTAATATTATTGATATTATTCAGATTTATTGCCTTTCCCCCCGTATTTAAAATAATATTCGCGCATATTTAGCATATTTCACATTCGTATACTACAAAATTTCAAACATAAAAAGAAAATTCTGAATGAACATTGTTTCTAAATAAATTTTATAATAACATATATATTGGAGAGTTAATTCGATTTCGCTTACTATTTTCAATTAACCCCTTCAGACTCAGCGTATATCCAATTTGAAGACATTATTCAATGAAATTATTTAATTCTATCAATATCTGAGATCTGATGTATATAATAATGTATAAAAAGTTATATATTGAAAAATTTTGAATAGTCAAAATTTTGAAAAAAATTAATTGTTTATGTATGAATTATTTATTTAAATTTAAATACGTATGAACTGAATTAAAAAAAATTTTTTTTAGTTCCAATAAAATCAGGTCTAAAAGGGTCTAAAACTCATTTAATGAATTATTAATAATTGCGTTATAGATTTTCTAAATATTAATGTTTTTCTAAATATTAATGTTTTATTTTTAATAGGCAATCTAGATTGTTGCCGAAGCCAATTTCCAAAGCAAAAGATTATAATTTTTCTAAGACGTTCATGACAATTTATATTAAGGGAATGCCAAAGTCAGACGCAATGGAACAGACAGACAATCAAGAACAGACTTGTATACCTCTACCCGATAATGCTACTTCGATGGACGAATTTTATGCTAATCAAGATATTGCATATGGATTTTTTTACGATGTTCTCGATCTTTCAATCTTGGAACAATTAACCAAATTTATTACCAATCATTTTTATGAAAGAAAGAAATTACCCTTGAACCTTTCCGAAAAGATTCTACAAGAAGATCATAATAAACAAAAATCTGATTCGGCCGTTATTAAACGCTTGATACCAAAATCAAAATGGAAACCCTCAGAATATGAAGAAAAGAAAGATATTGAAGCTGAAAGCCGCAATTTACAATCAGAAACAGAAACACAGTTAGCAAATGATTACGCTAAACCTGGGGAAAGCAACTGGCAATGGTTGGACTTCTCTCAGCCTACAGCTTTACTCGAAATTTTGGCTACACTTTGGGAGAGCATTGAACAGGCTTACATTGAAAATTTAAAAGAGATTCTTTCCTTGAAGAGGATGCATATGTCAATCTTTATATCCCATAAGAATTTTGTCTTCAAGAATTTAATAAGATTTATCAATCGACCTGATAATCGGCAGATTTTGTTGCAAGATTTTCATCAGGCCTTTAATGAAATCGATAAAGATCTCAGGGAAGATTTGGACATGAAATGCGAGTTACACTGCCGAGTACGCATAGAAAATAATAATATAGTAAAGAAGTGAGGAAAAAGAGATTTTGCTATAATCTATAAGTTTTTATTCATATTAATCTTCAAAGGGCGGAGTTTATTTTTGAAATCTTACAGCTTAAATTTTCCTTAGTAAGATTTGTAATAATTCATTATTTTTCATTGTATTTCTTGCTTCAAAATATGACACTGTTTCAGTGCCATTAATGGCTTTTTTAACCTGTAAAGATTAATATCTAATCTTAATTTAATTTCAATATAAAATTTTTGTCACTTTGGCAGGATATAGAAAGAATTACATTTATTATTCTTATCTTTGTTAAAAGACTTAAATTTTTCGCGCTAGGTCGATGATTTTCGAAAAGAATTGTGGGATCTATGTGACGCGCGAAGATACGAGGCTGAAGAAAAGAGAAAACGTATGTTGCGCAATCAGTGGATTTGGATGGAAGCCGTGATTCTCATTAATGTGTATATTGGAATTTTGCAAACCGAAGTTGACAGATTCGTCGACACTATGCAGTTCCTTCAGGATTATTACACCTCCATGTCGCAGAAACCACTGCAAGAATTGCAATTCTCTAAAATCGTCCTTGATAATATTGAATTGGAGGATGTTCTTCAAGAAATCTTGGATGAAGATAAAAAACAAACGGCGAAGATCAAAGCGATCAAAACTTCCGCTCGAATCATAAATGAGGATCAGCTTAAAACTGAAATCGAAACTTTATTAATCGATGTATCAAAGAGCTTTGATTCTGATCAGAATATCATTTATAATATTATCAAAGATAATATTCAACAAGTGCGAGATACCGTAGATTCCATCTCGTCACTGATGCTGAATATGTTGAAGAAGGAAGAGAAAGCCGTAATTTTAAAAACTGAAATTAAAAACAAAGAAGACACTTCGGCCGATTCTACTTTCGCCAAACTAGCTAAAAGAAATCGTGATTTAATCGAGGAATGGCGATACGCCGATTTGTTCGAGATCAATCGTATAAATCAGAGACTGGATGTGCTGAATGCAGCTGCTCAATCAGACGTGACTTTTCTTCTAGATACTATGAGACAGATCTTTCATGACATTTATCATCATATCATCAAAAGGTTGATTTAATTAGAATTAGTTATCGCATTAGTCTTTTATTTAACAAGTATTGAAGAGTATAATTTAATTTTTTAATGTTAAAATATCACGAAGCTTTCTACAAATACTTTATAAATGAAAATATTATTTAGATTTAAAAAATAGCTTCTTATATATCTATATAATTATTTCTAATTAACATCAGTTATAGTATCATATTGCCTTTTAAAAATTAGATATATAATGTACATAATGACGTTTATTTTTAGATACAAATGTGAAATCGAAAGTATCGACGAAATGGCGAATGTTTTTTGCTTTGCCATCGAAGAAGAAAGACCAATTCAGCAAGAACTACTATTAGACGGCGATCAATTTATCGTGAGATCAAGCATCGTAAGTGAAGATGAGGAACAATTCAATGTTCCGATCAGAGAAGCGCCTTCACCTCTACGATTCCGAATGGTTCAACTTGGTCGGTTGGTAGACATTTTCCAACGAATCGCTCCGCATGGAATCGTCAGTGAACGCGTCCTAGTTTACATTCTCCAGGATTTGGTATCCTGCGGTGAAGAGGATTGTTATCCGCCCTTCGTGCCATGCGCCTGGCAACAATTGCGACCTCCGGATATCGAAATATTGGTCGAACAATTGTTCGGTTCTACCGAATATATCGAATGGCGAGAATTTGTCCTGTATGCAATGGATCTGCCTGTACCATCGCATCAGGATATTCTGAAAGCACGAGCAGCCTTCGAGATGCATGATTCTGAATTGAAAGAGGTGGTCACATGCGAACAATTCCATTCGATACCCTTGTGGTTTCTCGAAATTTCCACCAATAGTTTCTTGGATGAAAAATTTGAGCACAGTAATTTCGATACATTAGAGAATGTAATGTTGCGCGAGGAAGCACAATTAAGCGAGCATTTTTCGAATTTGGGAAACGATTTCATAGAAAGAAGCGAGGATGATTCTAGGTATATGGAAAACACAAATTAAACGAAATAAAAATTTATGAAGTAGAAAATTAAAAGGGATTAAATCCGTTCGAAAACAATTCGTTAAAACGTTCTTTATTAAAAATTTTGATTTGATTTGAAGTTTTTTTTTAATTTTCTATTTAATTCTATTTTAATTTTTCATTCATGAATGATTCGATTAATCACTTTCAATTAATTATGCCTTTCATTAAACATTTTTGATTAAAAAAACTTTCTGAACAATGCTTTTTAAATCAATTCTCACACTTCTCTTTTTCAATCAATTTTTTGATTAAATTGCTTTCGCAGCGCAATATTGAGACTGATGCTGGCAAAGAAACTTCTCTGCCGCATGTATCTGGTAAACCAAGACTCGGTTCATTATACCGCCATGCTATTAGCTTTCTGCAAGAACGAGGATCCTAGCGTAGGTCTAGGAAAAGCGTTCTCCCTTGCCATGGGTGCTAGAGTTTGTACTAATACAGTGGAAGGTGAGAAATTCGTCGAAGAACTTGCCAAGCAGAAACGTCACGTTAAGGAGTTGAAATTGAGCCAAGATTATCTTCAAGAAGAGGCTAACGAGGTAACTTGAAACTTACACTAATATTGATTTATGAAGTCAATATCATTTGCAATCAACTTATTACGTTTGGGATGAAATAAATAAAGTATAATGAAAGAGAGAGAAAGAGAAAGAGAGAAAGAGAGAATAATTAGACATAAATAAAATAAATTGTAAGAGAGAAAGAAAGGATAATGATTCCTTATTGGAACCTTTACACTCTATATTGAAGTTAAATTAACATAGACATTTTTTACTATAAATAATATAAATATATATTATAAATATATACTATA